TCGAGAGTGCCGCGTCGGGCATGTCCTACGCGCTCCAAGCGATGAAGCGCCTGAATGCGACAATTGTTCAAGCCGGATTTGACTTTCAGGACGCCCTCGACGACTACTACGCCCAAAAGCGGCGGGAGGCCATCTGGAACCTTGCTTTCGGAGTCGCGAACCTTTGCACCGGCGGCGTGCGGACCTTTGCAAGTATGATGGAATACAAAGATGGCTCTAATAAGCGGAAGAAAGGCGCCGACTTTACCTCCTCGCTCGGCTTCTTCACGGAAACGGTCGCGAACAATGCCAAGACCATGGGCTTTGCAGCATCGGCACTCGTATCGGCCAACAGCGACGACGATGCGAACGACAAGTTTCCCTCGGACGACTCCGTCGAATTGACGTACGACTTGATGGAGGTCCTCGCGGATAACGACGTGCTGCTCCCGAGCACCGGCTGCGACAGCCCAGCGGACTGCGACATCCCAGACGGCGATGAGATGGACGCGCTCCAAGCGGCTCTCGACAACCTCAACGAGGCATATAATTCGCTCTATTCCCCGCAGGGTCCCATTATATAGCATCGTCATGAAACGCGTCAGCCACTGCCGCCGTAGGAGCTGCCGACGATGGGCTGGGGCTTCTGGACGGAGTATTATGCATCGATGAAGGAGGAGTACAACGAGTACCTGTGCGCCTCATTGTGTAAATGGCCCAATATGTGTCCGTCCGCTCGTATCACCCCCCCCTCCCCCCCCTCCTCCCCGCGCACAGGACGGGGTACAGCACGAGCATCAACGGCGCAGCCCAACACATCATCGATTTGATCGACGCGCAGAAGGACTACGGGAACGACTACGTCAATCAAGGGATGCGCTACGTTGGAGGCTTGCAGCAGTACCTCATCGATGCTCAGACGATCAACATCTCCCGCACGGCGAACGATGCAATTGCAGCCGCGTTCGACGAAGCGGTCCCGGACGGCTACTTCGCTCTTCAGCAGAGCACGCAGGCTGTCCTGGTCACAGGCCTGGGGCTCCAGATGCAGGCAATCGCCCTCCAACTCTGTCAGAGCTACTCTTACCAGACCACCGGGCTCTTTCAGCGTTGTGTGGCGAGCAGCACCGCTACGAAGAATCCCCTTCAGCAGCTCTGCTACGACTTCTCGGCTGGGATACTCCCCTCGTTGGCTCCGATGGAGCTGGATCCGTGCGGCGACGCGGCAGGCTTCATCAAGGAGGCGAACGCGTATTTGGCACCGTACGAGAAGATTAACAACCTTTCGCAGGCTGTCAACTGCTACGTCGATCGAGTGCTTTGGGGAGGACAAGACTCCATCGTCGAGAGGGCTGATAGCTACCCATTTGTCGCACTCAAGGCAAAAGCCCAAGCTGCCACACACACACACACACACACACACACACACACACACACACACACACACACACACACACACACACACACACACACACACACACACACACACACACACACACACACACACCACACACACACACAGGGGGGGGGGGGGAGACGAGAGGAAGCCCCCTTAAAATGAGCTTGGTTGGAACCTAGGTCGAGGTCTTCAACACGTCCTGCACGCCGTTTGACCCACCATCGTTCGTCACCAACATGACGAGCTGCGTTGCATCGGATTGCCCCTGCTTTGCCTCCGAGTGCGATGACGATGCTGTGCTCAAATGCTTCTCTGCCTCGGGCGCAGAATGCCAGGCCTTCAACGCCACTCTCGATGGGGGGTTCGCCGAGGACGAGACGTGCTGCGTGAGCCGATACGAGACCTTGACCTGCACGGAGCCACCGCGGGTCGAGCCCGTGTACTACGATGGGCGGATGCTAGTATCGGACGGATACACCCTGCCCTACATCACAGAGGCGCAGCTCAAGAGTTTCTCGGACCCTGACAGCCCGAGCTTTGGCAAGCTCGTGATCGACTTTCCTGTGGCCTACATGCGTCAAAAGACGGGGCTGTCGGCGGACAAAGACGATGTGTTCGTGCGTGGCATAGCCGCGTACCTCGAGGGTGCGACCATTTGGCAGACGGGCAAAATATTCAATGTGAGGCTGACGGCGAAAGGTGAGATGACGAATCAGGTGAAGAAGCCACTCGAGGCTCAAGAGTGTGTCGCGACCTCGTGCCTTTTCGATGACTACTCGTTTGCTGGGGCACCGTCGGGCGAAAGCTACCCCCCGAGCACAGTCGTGTACGAGGCAAACTACTGGAACACGGACAGCAGTGCGGCACCGGGAAGGGAATGCGGCGAGTACGGTGGAGGGCAGCAGGTCTTCACAGAGGACAATGTTGCCGCTGACTCGCCACCAATGTTGTACTGCACCAAAGAACACTACGACGAGAGTTACGAGGATGGCGGGACTGCCAGGACCCCAGGACCCTATAACTCGGCTTCGCTCTTCTCCAGCTTTGAGCTCACCGTGACTAGCGATGGCTCGTCGCTCAACAACTGGGGCATCGACCTCAGCGGCGTCACAGCGATTCACATTGGGTTCTGGCTCATGACCACGTCCTCACCCAAGGATTATCAGGACCAGTGCCAAGAGATGTCCTCGACAGTGTGCTCTAGCGCCTTCACCGGTGACTGCGCGGGCGTCAAAATGCAGGCAGATTGGTGCGAGTGAAGCACCACGGCGGTCGCACTTGCCGAGGCCTTCTCCGCCTTCGAGGAGACAGTGTACTATTGCCAAGGCCTTCTCCGCCTTCGAGGAGACAGTGTAACCTTGCCGAGGCCTTCTCCGCCTTCGAGGAGACAGTGTAACCTTGCCGAGGCCTTCTCCGCCTTCGAGGAGATAGTGTAACCTTGCCGAGGCCTTCGAGGATAGATGCCTAGCAACGCGAAGGACGCGGAGCGTTTTGCGCTTCACACTGGTTGCACGTCCAGTGCACCGACGCCTCGTCGCGATGTCCTTGCTTCCACCAGCACAAACTCAGGAGGGAACGTTCGCGCTTCACACTCGTAGTGGCGCTGTGGAACCTGGAGCGGTCGCGCTCGCGAGTCCGTCTAGACACTAGAGGTAACCGACGCCCCTGAGTGTTTGATATGCAATGGCTTTGAATATTGAAAATGTGTGGCTTTGTTTTAAAGGGAGCGGACCCTGAGTTGCAAAGGGGTTGTTTGTGCGCCGGGCCCTCCTGCTCGGCTCCAGCGTGTAGATAAGTGTTGTCATCAACAGAGGAGAAGGATCTGACCTCGGGGCCGATGTGACCAAGCGCTAGTAGCGTGGTTTAACCTCGCCCATGGTCTCACAGTGTGCCGGCAGTCGCCGAGCAGTGTCGCTCACACAAGCCGCAGCACAAGTGACTGAGGGCCAGTGAGGGCGAGCCCATCGCTGTCACAGCTGTGGCAGCCGCACAGTGGGACCCTGTGCCATCTGTGCAGAGCGTGTGAGCAGCAGAGGAGCTGCTCTCCAGGCTTCAGGCGCAAAGAGCTTCATGCCACCGAAGGCGCTGTCGCGTTTCGCCGAGCGCGGTGCAGGCGCAAAGAGCTTCATGCCACCGAAGGCGCTGTCGCGTTTCGCCGAGCGCGGTGCAGTCGGGGGAAGCCGCCACCGACGAGCGCGTTGGACTTTTCACTCCCCCGACAAAGACGGGCACACATAGCGGACGGTGCGGGGCGCGTGCCCGTCTTAGCGGCGACGCGCGGGACCGTCTGTGGCGAAGTGGGTCGGCTCGCGTCCCCGGATTTCCCGAACTCATGGTCCTCTCCCCGTATGGAGCCCTCGCACGCGCGGGCGCGCCCCAAGCCGCGCGGGCGCTGCGCGCACTCCGCACTGCGGGGCTCGGCAGGATTTCTAAACCTCCACAACACCTGGCGAGAGAAGCCACGAGAGCAAGGGATCGGCAGGCGGCGGCGCCGTCGCAGAACGAGGCCGATTGGCCTTTATACGTTTTTCTCGCCCAGTACTATCTATATTCTTTTTCCGTATTCTTTTGAGAGCGCCTTCGTTGTTAATAGTACAAACCCAATGGTCCCTTGCGAGCGGTCCGTCGTTGCAGTCGCACACACTCACACGCCACGCCGCACCGCGCGCCCACCCGCTGCCCCGCCTAGGCGGGAAAGAGATGAGGAGATGGGACAGCGAAGGAGGAGCACAAGCACGTATGGGAGGGTTCAGTAATGCGCCACGCTGCCCGGCGTCTCTCACTTTCCGGGACAGCCCCGCCCTTGTGAGGCAGGAGAGTGACGGCTACCCCGTACGCCCTGTTGCTTCTACCCCGACGCCGACCGCCCATCCGCCCCTCCTCGCTCCCGCCTCGAATGCTCCGGACCCCGACAAGCCGCCCGACGTTGGGCCTCTGCCCCGCACGCTCCCGCCCCTCTGCCCCTCACACACACCCAGGCCCGACATGCACATACAAGACAAACCCGGCGTCCTGCTCTCAAAAGAAAAGAAAAAAATGGGAAGGAGGAGACCAGCGGGGGAGACTCCCCGCCTATGCAACACCCCAGAGAGGGGCTGCCATCGCCGAAGCTGTAGAGTGAGAAGACCGTGGCATGAAGGTCGCTGCGAGAATTGGCGAGAGACTACTGCGAGGAGAGTGGAATAGAGGCAGACGCCAAACAAAACAAAACTCTCTCAGACGCCCAAGGGTGGGCGACGGCTAGCACCACACGCCTCTCCTTAAAATCTCTTTCTTCCCACGGGTTTTCAGGCCCTCCAAATTCGGGTCGGAGCGTAGCGGAGTGGGCCCCGAGTTTGAAAAGGGCGACGGACGCTTGCGTCCTAGCCTCCAACAACGCCTCCCCGGCGCAGAGGAGGGATGCACAACCGACCCACGCCACGCCGCTTGCGGCGGTCCTCTTCCCAGCTCCGCTGAGGGCCCGAAGCTTTTAATTCTTTTGTTACTAGCACGCGCCAGTTCGCACCTGTGTCGGGCCTGCCGCGTTAAATTCTTTTGCCAGCACCTGTGTCGAGCCTGTGTGCTGTGAGAGAGAGTTGTTTTCTTCAAATTCTTTTGCCAGTTCGCACCTGCTGCTGTGAGAGACAGTTCTCGACTGTGTATGGTGCAAGCAGGCCGGGCGACGACGACTTACCGCCTCAAGCTGGTGCAAGCCACAGGATACGTGCTGGCGTCCGGGTGGGAGTACATAGGATGCCCCGCACCGAGATCTGGTACGTCGGAGGCTGGGACGTCACTGTCATGGACGGGCACGCCGTGCTGCCCGACGGCATGACGCACCTGCCTTCTCGCGCTTTCCGCAACCGAACAGAACTAGTCTCGGTCGCGTGTCCGAGCGGCCTCATGTCCATCGGCGCGGACGCCTTTTCCGGCTGCACCTCGCTGATCTCCGTCAATCTCCCCTCCACTCTCACCTCGATCGGCATCGAAGCCTTCTACTTCTGCCGCCGTCTCGCCTCCGTCACCCTGCCCGCCGGCCTATCCAGCCTCGGCAACAACGCCTTTGAGGACTGCGACTCGCTCGTGTCCGTGAGCCTCCCCACCGGCCTGACGTGCATCGCCGGCAAGACATTCAAGGGCTGCTCCGCCCTCCGCTCCATCGCCCTCCCCGCCGGCGTCACTACCGTGGACAAGCAGGCCTTCCGCGGCTGCACCTCGCTTGCTGCGGCGGTCCTCCCTGCGAGCCTGGCGGTGATTGGCCGCTTCGCCTTCTACGACTGCTCCTCCCTCGCCCGCGTCGCCCTGCCCGCCGGCCTCGCCAGTATCGGTGCGGGAGCATTCGACGGCACCGCCCTCACCCGCGTCACCGTGCCGACGACCGCCACCATCGGAATGGGCGCCTTTGCGCGCGTCGCGCCCGCCTGCACCACCGTCCTCCGCCTCTCGCCCGACAGCATGCGCCCGCGGCAGCTGTGGTATGCGGCGGTGGACCTGGTTCTCGCCTACAAGCGCTGCCGCGCCGGCCTCTACGGCTGGCTCGAGCGGGCCAACATCAGGCTCGGCTCCTACGGCCCGGACGGCGCGGCGCGCCAGCGCGACCGCGAGGCGTTCGAGGGCGACTTTGGGCAGTGAGGCCCCTGGGTGAGAGAGGTGTGTTGTGAAGAGCGTTTTTAAATTGTCCCGACAAATTCTTTTCTGCACGGAGCTAAGTGCCTCGCCACCCTCGCAGGAGTCGCTTACGCAAGCTCGTGAAATTCTTTTCTGCGCGGTGCGAACTAGGCTCACTGGCCAATCCCATGTCGGACGCCGCTCTCGCAACGCTCCTCTCCAGCCACGGCCTCTCTCACCTGAGTGTCACGCTGGCCGCCGAGGATCTCACGCTCAGCACGCTCAGGTACATGGCAACTCAGCCATGCTTTGACGCAGACATGGTCGATGTTGGAGTGGATGCCGCCGCCGCCGCGGAGCTGCGGCGCGCGCTCACTTCCGCCTCGTCGAGCGGCGCAGCGTCGGGTGGCCCGTCGGGCGGCGTGTCGGGCGGCGCGTCGCCGTTGGGCGGCGCAGCCAGCTCGGGCGGTGTATCTGGCGCGCGCGGTATGATCGGTGCCGCGCTCGCTGTCGTCGACGCCACCGACGTCGTGCGTGGCAGCGGAGATGCGGCTGAGGCTGGGTCGGCAGGGGGTGGCGCCTTCTCCCAGGATGGCTTCTCCGTCACGCACATCAATCACATCGGAGCGAGCGAGAGCGCGCCGCGGCCGCCACTTGAGACGCGCCCGGGCGGTGGTGGGAACAGCGGCGCTTCACAACCATTGCCTCTGAATAGGCCACCAAAGTCGGACGCGCTGCTCGCCTATTTGCGGCGTGAGGGGCGAGGGCACTATGCCGATCCAAGCCGTAGACCCAAGCCAGCGTAGCGCGTTGGCTGACTCGGATCGTATCGCCGCCTCTGGGGGGGCGCGGGGGCCCTGGAGGGTATCCATGCGGGGGGGAGAGATGGGGTCCGATGGCCCGCCGCAGGCGCCGATTTTTTCGGGCTTTTTTTGCGCAGGCGCCCGATTTTTTCGGGCTTTTTTTGCGCGATTTTTCACTTGTTTTCATGGGAATTCGGCGTACTTGAAGCTAGACTCTTGCGGCCATGCTATTTGCTATCACGGCCTTGCGACAGCCTGTCGGCGCTGCTGACCGTGCCATGCTGCTCAACTGACCGCCTGCATAGCTCGCGGCCTTAGTCTTCAGCATTCAGTGACGACCTGATCGTACGGCCAGTAGGAAGGTGTCCTTCCAGCGCGTGCACGCTTCTGGCGCAATGCGCGTCGCCTCTCGGATTGGCTGCTGGCACTCTCGAGTCTATGCCTACACAGCCTCGCGCGCATGGGCAGTCAAGAGGGACCACGCACCTTCTCAGGACAGCACCAGTGCCTCTCTCTTGGACCGGCAAACTTGGTGGTCTCGTGTCACCAATGTGGGACCAGTGCGCCATCGACAGCTCTGAACTGCGCCTCACCACTGACCGGGAAGGCCGCCAAGTGGGCCAGCACAGGTCGCACATTGTGGCAGCAGTCAGCAGTGCATGTCTGATAGCTAGAGCAGCAGCGTCAGGGTCGCAGGGTCGGATCGTGTCAAGCCTCTCGCCCGGCCGGCCGCGTGCAGACGTCGGCCTGTCTGCTGTTTGGAGTGATCTGTCGGCGGTCAGTACGACCAATCAGGTTGGAGTTTTCTGATGATTGGAGGGTCTATTTGTATGTACTCCTCGAGATCTCTCCAAATCTGCCCTCTGATTAACAGCTTAATCTCGGGAAGTCGGTGCTAGTAGAGACTAGTAGAGCCGGGGCCCGCCCGTTTCCGCACACTGCGGCACGGCGCACGGTGCCTCCGGGGGCCCCCGCGCCCCGCCCCCCCAGAGATCGCCGCGCGTCCGCGTGTGTGCTGTGTGGTGTGTGGTATAAGTGGTACCGTAAAGCCGCGCAAGGTACAAAGGTAAATCTCTCTCCACACACACATAGTGGTGGTAAGGGGGGGGAGGGGGCAACGGCAAAGGGCAATCTCTTCTCTCGCAAGGCCCCCCCCCGAAATCGCGGCAATCATTAATCAACGCCACTTCCCCGTCTTGCGATGCCTCTCCGCCGCCTGCGCCGCCTTCGCCACCGTCATTGCCCGGTCGGGCATTGTGGTTCGCACTACCGGCTTCGGGACATACCCGTTCGGGTCGAGGGCGTTGACCTGTCCACGAGGGCGTTGGGGACTCAAAGGCGGTGTAGGCGAAGGGGTGGGTGTGTGTGTGTGTGGGGGGGGGGGGGGGGGGGGCCCACCTAAACGGGGGGGCAACGGTCGGGCCCCACCGCCCGTATTTGGTACCCTCCCCACCCAAGCCGGAACCCCACTTACCCCCCCGGCACGGCAAAAAAAGGGGCGTCCACCAACCGTTGCACCTTTTCACAATAAAACCCCCCTAAACGGAGAACCACCCACGGGGGAGGGGGGCCCTCCCCCCCCCCCCAAAAACCAGGCACCAGGCGCACCCCCGTGCCCTCAACGGATTTTAGGCGGACCCCCCCCCCGAGCGAATTTCGAGGAAAAACAACAACCGCGGGCCCCTTTAAATCCCGGAAAAAAATGGGTTCCTTTACAAACCCCTCCCCCGAAAAAGGCGGCGGCAAAACCGCCCCTTAAAACGCTCCGTGACAATTCCAAACTCGAGTGTCCCCCAGCCTACCTCCTCCCCTAAAAAAAGTAAAAACTGGCCCCCTTGTCAAAAAAAAAACCCCAAAAACCCCCCCCCCTTCAATGCGGACCAATCGCGACGGCAGCAACCGCACCACCTCCTTTGTCCAAGCGGTCGGGGGAA